ATATCTTTTAATGAAATCTAGCATTGCAGAATGACTTCATTGATTCAGAATATCAGTGAAAATATTATAAGCATTCATGGAGCTGAACTTCACCTGCCTGTATTATTAAAGAATCCTCTAAATGTTGATTCTTTAGGATTGAGGGTAATACAAATGAATAAGGGTCCATGTTATTGTCTTTTATCTTGGAATCCAATGAGATGAGTTGAAGTACTATTCCCGTCTTTATGTGTAGCACCTTGCAGGAAGTGACAGTTAAAAGAACTCTGATCAGGAGACTGCATAGAAGAGCTGATTCCAAGTGTTCGATCATGCAGTAAACTTTGTGCTCTAAACAAAGGGAGAATATATTTGCCTCCTCTGTACTTCAGCTGTATGAACTCTAAGTCCAATTAGCACATGGTCTGAATGTTCACCTCATCAATTTTACATGGAGATAAAATCAGCACAAAGTCATTTAAAATTTAGCTATATTATTAAATTTCAGTGTAAATTCTGGAGTGAAGATTAAGTTGTTTCCTGATACAAGGTAGGTTTTGACAGAGAAGCTTTCTGATGGAAGTTGTTTTCTGGGACTCACTCTCTGAGGATACTGTGGGTGAGGAGGATCATGGAAGCAAAGAGGAAGCAAGACCCACAGGAAGCTCTACGAAATGCACCGTGGCTGCATGAGGTGGTGTGAGAGGCACCAACACTGGTACACATCCCGAGCAAAAAGACTGAGAGCATTGAGAGGAGATAGCAAACAGGTGAAATACAAAAAATGGAAACAGTAGAATTAAAAAGTGAAGCTGCCCATCAACCCAGGTACTACTCCCAGGAGTGGTCCAGATACAATAACAAAACCCAACTAGATGTTGTCTACAAGAAATACACATCATCCACAAAGACATACACACAAACACACACACCCTGTGTTAGTGATCTTTCTGTTGCTGGGATAAAATATCTGACACCTGCAATGTAAAGGAGGAAAGAATTATTTTAGCTATTTCAGTCCTGGACTCCAAGGAAGACACGGCGTGGTGAAAGGGCGCTTACCCTAATAGTCAGTGTTGGAAAACAGAAAGATGAATTGACATGTGAATAAAGAAATGACTGTTGCATTGGTGAAATTTCAATCAAGAAACTGAACCAATAAGATTTGTATAAGAAATCTATTGCAAGGAATGGGTTTACATGGTCCTTATAGGTCCAACATCTGTAGGGTAGCATGTTGGGAAGAGAAGGCTGGAATGCTCAGGCTCAGGCTGAAGCTGCTGTCCACAGGCAGAATTTCTTCCTCTTCAGAGAAGTCTCTGTTTTGAAAGCCTTTCCACAAATGGAAACAGGCCCTATTAGATTTCCTAGGATAATCTCCCTTACATAGAGTTAATGGGTTATGAACATCAGCCTATACATCTACAAAATTCTATCACATCTGCACCTATATGAGTATTTGATGGTCATCCCTACTGGTATGTAAAGTCTTATGTACTGTGTACATCCATGAATTGGAACTTAATAGTATTGAAGAAGGAGTAATGTTCCTTGTAGGAGGCTGTGACCCCACCTTTAAGAAACCCCAATTGAATGGTGGTGTGTAGACTTCAAAGTCAATAGAAACCATAGTTTATCTAAACAATAATGGAACACAATAATTATTTATTCTTTTGGCATGACTACTTATTATTATCAGTAGCATCTTCAGCAAAGGTAACTAAATTCTAATTCCTTAAATGTAAGGACTACTTACCCTTACTTTAATTTTTAAAATTCTTTTTAGATTTCTTTTAATAACATTTTTTTGTGCATAAATACTACTAAATAAAGGAAAAGTAGTTCCAAAAAGAGCTAGAAAGGAACCTATTTGCCTTACATTCATCACTCTTGCTGTGCATAAAATTTGAACATTCCAGAATCTTCTGGGAATTAAATATGACTGGGAAAATAAGACCCTGTAGAAAGCTGTAAAGATAATAAAAATTTCAACTACAAGATTAAAATATTGCTTCATTTTGAAGAAGCAAATATTATTTTTCTAGTACAAATGATTACTAATTAATAGAAAGGTTAACTGTTCTTGCTGCCATTAATTGAATTATAATTGATACCAAACAGGGGCTGGGGATTTAGCTCAGCGGCAAAAGCGCTTGCCTGGCAAGCGCAAGGTCGTGAGTTCGGTTCCTGGTACTGGAGAAA